CCAAGTTTAATTCTTCTGTCTGTATTTTCCTGGTTTATTATCTTGCTCTTTGTGTTCCCATCTTTAGAGCGGCCTGAATTCAGCAGCCTGCATGTTCAGCAGTGAAGTTAGAAAACTGATTTCTATTAAAATAGTCCACATTGTCAGATTTGTAGCACCACAAATGTGGCACATGTTCTTCGACCACGATTGCAACCAAACTTCCCTTATCGTACAAAATCACTAAAAAGAAACATACATGTACAAAATGAGCTTTTTCCATTTTTTAGTGGCTGCAGAAGAGTCCACACATATGCAATGGATTAAATGCTATGAATGAGAAAAAGGATTTACTTGTATGCAGCTTGACATTTCCAATACCTGTTTTACATGCCATAACTACTGATTTTACAGCCGTGCTTTTCCAAACCAGAAAAACCCTGTTTGTCTTTTTCAGGCCCAGGAATCCTTGTTCGACGGTCTCCCTACAAAATGTAAGTTCTCGTCTTTTTATTCATCAGTGAAATAAATATTCTGATGAACTGAGGAGATGAACAGTAGAGACAGCACTTGATGTTCAGGCGATGTTAAGAGTACTCCAGAGAAAAAATGTCTAATGTGTCATTAGGTGGTGACGCAGATATTTGAAAATCCTCCAGAGGAAGTCAAGTAGATTTCACCCTACTCAGAAACAGAGTTTTGTTAAAAGGAAACTCTTCCTGCAGCTGCAGCTTTTGTTTTTTTTTCCAACAAGTTCCTCATGCTGCAAATTAAGAGTCCCACCTTTCCACAAAGTACTCTGTTTGCGGGTCCAGGTTTCCCAGGTACCAGAAGATCCAGAACATCAGGCTGAAAAAGATGATGAGAGGTCCTGTGAAGACCAGGAAATCCCAGAAACTGAGGGGAGCGAAAATCCCAACCAGGAAGATGAGGAGGCCTGCCACATCGAGGAAGAGGGCGATGAAGAAAAATGGCACACAGCGGCCCACGTAAGCTTTATAATCCATGATGAGAAGAGTTGATGCTCTTTGAGTTTCCCAGTTAAACAGAGCTTTAGCAGTTTATTTGACATGTGAGAAAAGTCAAGTATACTCAGGAGAAACGCTCCTCTCTGCCTCAGAGCTGCCTGTGACTCTGCAGTACGTCTGACAGGAAGGAAGACTTTAAAACATTCAGGTCGCATTCCTCTCTGTATCTGCATCTGACATTTTCACATGACGCAGGCTGACAGGAGGAGAAACATGTTCCTCATGATGACGAGACATTTACAGACTATCGAGTTAAACGTGTTTTCATATCTTCGACATGCTTCACCTGGTATCCACTGATCCAGCCTGATCTCAGGTCATCAGGTGGGTTAAAAAACTTGAAATCTGCCTTCATGATTGTAGGATAAAAAATAGGCTGCTTTAATCACCCACTGCTCTGTCATTGTTGACCTTTTTGTTCAGGTGAAACTCTTATTTCTTTCATTTAATAAATTCGTACATCTTTCTGTAAACAGACTCCTTTGAAAAAACTATATTAAGTACAAGTTCAAGAGAGTTGTCAGTCCAACTTGTTGCCTTCAGGAATGATGTGGAACTTCTCTGTGTTTCCAGTGACCTGTCAGTCAGTGAAAAATGACTTCCAGCCAAGAACTTCTGTACCATGCACTGGATTATGTGCCGTCTCAAAAGTACCGGATCAAAAGCAAAGCAATCCCTACAAAGGAGCACCCATGCATCTGTTTCTGGGAGGTCTCAGTTTCACTGTGATCGTACGATAAACAGAGGCTTCACTCTGGTTTAAAACTGGTGTCTCATGGTGGGGTCATTCCCACGTTCAACACATTTCTAACATTTTCTTTTTCACCGAAAATTAGGCCCTGTGTTTCCACAGCCCCATGTTACATGTTACAACAATAAAAGACTTCCAAAAAAGACATATTACTCAGTGACAATAACAATAAATAGATCATACTGGCTACTTAGGGGGTATAAGTTACACTGTCCCACCAAACATCGGACGTCGAAGAGATGTGCAGATTAAGTCAGTATTGGGTCGGTCCATCAAAGACCACATCTAGATGTCAGTGCGACGTGCAAAATAGGCTAGAAATTTTTAAGTCCAAATTGGACTTTTTTCAGATGTCGCTCTGCGTTTAGACTTTGGACGTCATCTGAAGACCTAATCTAGACGTTGGCACAAAGTGCAAAATGGATCCAAGATTTAGACGTCATTATTGGACCTCTTTTAGATGTTGAAATGACGTCCACATTTGTACTTCATTGTCGAAAAAATATGTTAAATAGATGTCATTTCAACGTCGCATTCTGCAGTGGGGTGGATATAATGGATTATATTTTAGATTTTATCGTCCTTTGCGAGAATAATTGTTTCCACGTCAGTACATTAACCATTTTGTAAACATAACATCACACCCATAGACATCTTTCCACACGTATTTACACAGAGGCATCGTCGCAGCAGCAAATGCACCCTGTGATAAATCTGAAGTGTGGCACTATAGGACTGTGGGAACATAAGGGATGGACCCCTCGTTGTAATCTCATAATGAATTCTTCACTTAGCTGTGATTGGTCAAAGCTCCATATCAATAGTGATTAATTCTCAACATCAAAAGCATCATTAATACATCTGTATGAAAACTGTGTAATTCATGTACAGATATGCAAAATGAACAACTGTGGTTCATATATGGAGCCTATCTTAGCATCTTGGGGCGAAGGCAGGAGACACCCTGGACATCTCACCAGTTACATCACAGGGCTGACATATAGAGACGAACAACCATCCACGCTCAAATTCACACCTACAGGAAAATTGAAAGTGGCCAGTTAACCTAACTCACTTCTGCATGTTCTTGGAATGTAGGAGCAACCCACGCAGACACAGGGAGAACATGCAAACTCAACACAGAAACGCTCTGACCTGGATTTGAACCGGGGACCTTCTTGCTGTGAGGTGACAGTGCGCCGCCCCTTCGTAAATAGATAAATAAGTTAATTAATTAATGGTGATTTGGGACAACCTGATCAGATGTCAAATCAAATCAGTTTGCAGAGAAGAGTTCGGCTTATTTCACCTCTGCCTGTTGTCACAGTGGCAAAACATTTGTGTCAGTCTGAGGCTGGTCATCTTATAGAGTTGGGAAATAATGACAGTTTGCGGACGAAGATGTGAGAGCAGCCTGAGATGCTAGTGGGCCCAAACCATCTTTGATTGGGAAATGAGGAGTTTTATCTTGTCCTGCAATCCATGCAATGGAGAGAGCATCTTTAATGGTAATGTGGCACCTTTGAATGAGTCAGGTCTAGCTTTTGTAAGTGAACAATATGAGTCGGCTCCCGCTGGAGAACCAGTTTTACTTTCCCCTCTTATTGTTGTTATATAGAACATGTCGAATAATAATAAAAAAAAACAATAGTATTCCCTCCACAGCGCTCGGCCTCAGGCACAGCTGTGACTGTGCTCTGTGTCAACATATGTGCTGTTTGATGAATCAGATGCAAATGGAGGCATAATAATGTTGTTCAGAGGACCAGTGCTTGATATAATATGAAATACATCTACATTTATTCATATTTGTAACTACACATCATGTAACATGATTTCGTTTTGGTAAAAAAAGATCATTATTATAATAATTAAAACAACTAATAATCAAAGTAAAATACATGTTTACTTATCAATCATAGGTCAAAATATAGCAACAAATGTCTGTATAATTAAAACTAATAAGATAAGAACTTTATTAATGGTGCCATGAAAAGTTGGAGGGTCAAAGAGCCAGGTCTTATTGCTGAGCTGAGCCAAAGGATCTAGATTACTAGAAAAGAGCCTGAATTTCCATCATTAATCATTAAATTGACGATCCCTAAAGTAACTGAAACCATAGATAGTGGAAACCGTGTTAAAAGTCAAGATATTTGCCTCACTTAGGTTTAAAGGTGTGTCAACTGTAAAGCTCTGGGAAGAAGAAGAGGTAATGTGGACAGAAAATTTACACCAGTATTCCTGCAGGAGTCCTTTTTATCTAAAAGATGGTGCCAAACTCTTTTGACTGGGGTACAGACTTTAGTAGGAGCGACCAGACATGGTAGACATACCCCAAATCTAGGGGGGTTACCTCCACTACTCACATCAACTTTACCTTCTAGTATAAAATATTATACCAAAAAAATGCTACCTTCTTTTTCAAATCCATCAAAGGTAACTAAACAGAGTGATAACATTGCAAGCTGCTAAATCAATTCTTGAAAGACTCAGGAAGGAGATGTTTGTCTTGTTCAAGTCAACACTGAGAACACCGACAAAAGAAAATGTTCCACACTGAAATGCAAAGCCTGTAAGAGTCACATCTGATGAAGCAGATAGGTGATCATGAGGGTGATCTTTGGGGTGGCCAGTCTACCACAGGCATCTTCAATGTTTCTACACGACTGTTTATATAAGAACTATCTGTTGCCATAGAAACAGCTTGGTTTTATTTGTATAAGGAAATAATTTTAAAACAGTAACATTATCTTTAAACCAATATTTGTGTTAGCTTCTTCATTTCGTCAGATAGTAAGTGATATAATTTATAGTGAACAGGTGGTTATTCAAACCTGAGTCTCTTTAGGCTTCAGAAATTTCTCTCAGGATCAATAAAGTGTCTGTTCATCTATTTATCCATTCGTCCGTTATTCTGAAGAGATTTGAATGTATGTAGACTCTTATAATAGACATCATGTTCATTCTCCCCTCTAATGGTTAGTTTGTACTCAACAACATGACTGTCAGAGCCACACTAATGTATTTTTTAAAATTTAATTTACTTTTTAAGTAATTTGCTTTTGAGAATAAAGTCGTAGTTAACTCACACCATTGCGAGGACCCAAAGAAAGCAGTTAAAGCATGAAAAAGTCTTAAAACTTTCAATGTCCTTGCCTCGTTATCCAACATCAGTTGTCAACTCTAAGCAGAAATACCCTCAAAGAACTACAACATCCAGGTATTAAATGTAAACTTTATTCTCATATAAAATAATTTACATCTTCTGCAAAATCAGCACATAAAAATAAAGATTTGCTATGTACATGTTAAAGACTTTTTCTTCCTCTGTGCACAGCCCCTCTATCTGACGAGGAGCTTTTCCCTGATTAAGAAACGTGGTCTTCATTTAAAAACAAAAAGTGACTTCAGTTCATGAGCTCAGTGTTTTCAGCAGCAAAAGGAGGAAGTCCATCCTTCAGCACCTCAGTCACCTGAAAAGAAGAAGAGAAAGATGGCTTAACATTTCATATACAGCTTAAAATGAGGTTAAAAACAATGACGTGAAAAGGGCGATTAAACATGGGCTGAAGTCATTCTTACACATTCCCTGAAAATTAATCTGATTTGATTGAAAATGTGCCTCTTCTTGTGAGATGTTGGAGAAGATCAGATAAGCAAATTATCTGGAAGAGTGAATCTGTTAATGAGTTTTTGGAAAAAAGAAAAGATCTGTGAGATTTCTTTCTTGGATAACACCGATGACATTTTAGGACGCTGACTGACATATAGGAACAAAAGGAGTGAAAAAAATAGAATTAGTTGAAATGTTGAAATGTTGAAGGGTTAAGAGGAATATTTAAGCTTAAATTCAAAGGTTAAAATGATACTGTCACAGAGAAACTAACACTATCACACAGAAATAAGAATAGACTTGAATTAAAATTAAATTGGACAATAGACTACTTCTACTTCAACTACTACAACCACTAATTATAATGTAGTGATGCTACGTTACAGTTGTACTCAGAAGTCGGTATTTCCGAGCTCAGAGTCGGAAAGACATCTGGAAAGCACCCCTGAAGTCGGAGTTCCGACTCAGAAATTCAGACGATCCTCGTCAACCCTGATTAACTTGATGACAACGTTATAATCTAAGATGGCAGCGCAGCGCATCAACAGTAAAGAGTAACAGTGAAACTCTTGTAATGTTTTATTTATTAGCACTTCAGTTTTGTTTTGGTGAAATTAAATAAGTGGTATATGTTGTACTGCCCAACGTCTAACTGTGGACACGGTGCTATGGTGTTTGTAAGAGTAAAATACTGGGTTATGCGTTGTTTACAACTGGTGAAGCTAACAACAACTAACAACAGCTGACAACTACTAACAACAACTAACAACCGCTAACAACAACTGACAATGGCCAACGACAGCTGACAATTGTAGACAACAACTAACAACGGCTGACTGTGGGCGTCCATCTTGGTTTTCCAATTTGTTAACTGGAACGCCATCAACTTGGGTGTCGCGTCATTCCCAGCTTCGACATCCGACTTCTGAGGTAACTGAAACGCAGCATAGATCCTAATAACCAGTTTAAATTTCTTAAATGAATACAATGTATGAAAATAGCTTTGATGAAGCTGAACTACTTGACAGTGTAGCTTAGCTTGCTACATGTTTGTGTTAATATTCAAAAACATATCTGCGATAAATCCCTCCCTGGCTCCCTGTTGGTAAAGGTAACACCTAAATGCAACCCTTGAAACTGAAAGAAGAGTTTCTGTTCCTGGTTGTTAAGAATGAGTATGAAATAATAACTCCATAGCCCCCGCAGACATCTAGTCAGATGAAAAAATGTAGACCTATCTATTGCATCATGACCTACTAAGAAATACCAAAACATTACCCAAAGTAAAGCAGTGTATCAACCAATTTCATGTAGTACTTAAAGTCGGCGCACTTTTTCTGACTGTAACTGAGTCCCTTCATTGAAAAAAATACCTCCCTTGCAATTCATCCTTCCGGCATACGGATTCCAGTCTACCCACAATCATACTTTTGTAAGTTTAACATGAATGTGGTTCTCTTAGCTTCTCTTTGCTTCTCTTCGGTTTCTGCTCGGTCACTATCAACTAAAAAAATACATATTTAGCTGGTGATTTTATTTGTTGTTATACCTTAAAGAAAATTTTTTTTTGAAAGTTCTTTCTTTCTGCAACCTTAAAAATTGAGCTAATCATAAATCTGGCTTTCAATTTCCTATCGGTTCCAATTTCCACATAATTAATAAGTGTGGGTGACTACAGCACTGTTATACATAATCAGCTTTTTCTTCCAAGTGCACACAGGAATAAAGATTTAACTCCATGTATATACTGTTGACACAGAGGCCTCCCCACATAACAGCCGTCTAACCACCATATGTTGTGTTATACAACTACATGGATACAGGTACAGTTCAGGCTATCCACACTTGAACCTTGAACCCTTACTCTCCATGTTACAGGACTGTAAATTAAACTGAAACCAGAGGAGCACAAAGCCCAACACTCCTTCATAAGCCACTTTATTGCCCATGACACGGAGTCTGAAGCTGCTACAGTATCAATGTTGTCTTTAGGTGGAGACCTGTTGTCATTGAAGGAGGCCCACTGATAAAAAAATACTGTCTCATTATGATGGACAATGAGTCAGCTTTACAAATAACAAGATAAAGTTCCCTGATATAATCCCATCCACCTACACTGTGTTTTTGTTCGTTTGAAAAACCACTAAAAGCATGTGTGGTATCCGAATTCCCTCTAACGTTTAAATCTAAAGCAGGTTTGACTGTCTTAGTTTGCCACCAAAAAAAAAAAAAAAAGGCCGAATAACAAAAAGACTTTAAAAGAGGACATATCTTATGAGTTTGGACACAAACATAAATATTTTTACGACTGAAACCCCCAAAAAGTTAGGATGCTGCTTAAAATGTTGATAACAACTGCTTTGGAAATAATTTAAATCCTATATTTAAAGCTCTTGTGAGGAGTCTTCGGACATAAATGGAAAAGACTAGAGGGGCACCAGTGAAAACTGTGCAAAGACATGATATCATATAATGTGAAGGAAAAATGTGATTGTTTTAAGAGTCAGGGAGGTTATTTACCTTTCTCTGGTATCACCTCTTCTCTAACAGACTTTTGTAAATGCTGAAAACTGAAGAGATCCGTTTTCAGAGTTTTGAAAGTGAAATATTGTCCCATTCTTTTCTGAAATAGGTTTTTATCTGTTCTTTGGTTCACAGATAACAGTTTTCTAAAGTGATTTTGAGTGATTTCCACTCCAGAGTCCTGTCTGTTTTGTATGCAGTTCTTCCTGAGGGCCCAAGATCAGGGCCATCCAGGTTGGTTTTGGGCCTTGTCCCTTTCCTGCAGGGACTTTCCCAGATTCTCTGAATCTTTTATTAATATCATTTACTGTAGATGATAAAATCCTGAAATTATTTGAGATTATGAGGAATATTATCCTGAAATCATTGAACTGTTTGCCTACGCAGTCTCTCACAGAGTAGAGAAACCTGTTTCCATCTTTCCCTCTGAGAGACTCAGCCTCGACAGAAAGCCATTATTATGCACAGTTATGTCACTAACCTGTAGCAAATTAAACTAATGAGTAAGAAGATGTTTCTCTGCTTTTTTGACACAACTTTTTCAGTGTCAGGGTGTCCACGCAGTAATTTATTTGCCTTTTAGTTCTAAGATTTGAAGTGTTGCTTTGCATTGTTTTTAATTAAATCCAGGGTTCAAATGATTTGCAAACCATTAAAATCTGTTTTTATCAACCTTTTCTCTATAAACAAAGGCACAACTTTTGAAATTGGGGTTGTACCTTTAAACTGCAAAAACATTAATTGGCATTCCTTAAAGGGATATTCCGGCGTAAATTTAAGTTAGGGTCAAACACACTGTAACACCAAGTTAGACACCCCCTTAACTGATTAATGTTGCTTCTTTAGTGAAACCAACTTCAGCAATGACCGCTTGAAAGCAACACACAGTGGTTTACGTCTCCACACGCAAACCTCAACCAAAAAGCCACTCTATAGCCACAAATAATGTTCAGAACAGCACCTAACTTCATCAACAGTACATAAAGGGTCCCAGCCACAGTACTAGCCACCAAACAGCTTTTTATCTTTGCCTGGTTTAATAAGCAAAGAGACTAAACACAACTCACCCACTCTCCCCTAGCAGCCACTTGTTTGTGGGGGAGCCCTGACGAGTCGATATACGAGTGCAGTGGAGTTTCGCAGCTCAAGGAAGAACATTTATGATCATTTTTTACATGGAAATGAAATCCAACCGAGATGCTAAGGCAGAAGAACTACCGTGTCTGCAGTGCAAAATGATTATTATGATGATTATTACTTCATGGAAATGATCCGCTGCACTCGGTGATCGACTCGTCAGGGAAACAGGAATCAGGGCCATCCCTTGCATGTTTATATATATTTTTCTCCCTAGATAGTCATCAGATGGAGGCCTGAAGATGGTCATTTGAAACCGGTATGTGAAACAATATCAGCAATGACCTCAGAAGCTCCCATAGATTGTTTGTCTCACCTTACACACAGTTATTTGACAGTACAGGAGCTGCCTCTTTGTTCAATATGCAGTGTTTGCTCTTGACCCAACAGTCCCATATCTAAGGATCATTATCTGGATTAGATATTATGGGAATCAGGCCTGGGTCCATTAAAGTTAACTACCTGGAACTAGTGGGAGGAGGGTGTGAGCATGAAGCAGACTTTAAATGATCCCTGCTGCATTTGAATACCTTAAAAACTCCTGCACTCCAATCCAGCGGATCAATACGCACTGTTCACTTCCATTAGAATGCAATTGCGCCTTTTGGCCCAGAGCATGTCTGGCTCGCTGCGCGGTTACAAGCAAACTGACGGCTAAAATAATGCAGGAGTGTGAAGGTGAGCAGAAACGGACGGGCTCATAAATTAAAAGCTGCCACAGGCCACTGAAGATCTTTTCACCGCGGCCAAGGAAAGAAAAAATTACCATTATTACAGAAACGCATGAGCAGACAGGGTCCTGATGGGGGTCAGGGTGGCGTTTGGGGCTTCACTGTGGGTGTCATCTGATCAGTGACAATAATGTGGGGGTCAGAGCTAAGGTAAAAGGGCTGCTATAGGACGCCAGCAGTGATGATGAAAGAGTTACAGTTGTGGCAGCCAGCAGCTAATGATGAACACAACAACAGCAGAGTGACAAGCGGGGTGAACGCAGGGCGATGCGCTGAATATTTATGGATCTCAATTAGGATTGTTTGTTGGGTCCATGGGCTCAGACTTCAGCGGGATCAAACAGTTTCACAAAACCACAGGTGGAAGTGTCAGGAGGGTTAGAGGGGGATTTAAAAGTCTCAACGGCAGAAAGCAGGCGACAATAACAGACTCCAGACAGGTGGGACGTGAAGGCAGCCTCAGGTGATGAAATACTAGCACAATGGGGGATAAGAACCACCTGAAATCACGCCACTGACTGTAAATAACTGTCAACTACCTTTAAGATCAGCATTTTGGCCATCACAGTGTTCGTACTCTGAGACCAGGAGTGGCCGTGTTTTATTCCTCTGAGAGGGAGGAGCTGAATTTTAGAAGTAATCTGATCATATTAGAGCGAGTGGACGGGGTCAAATCCTGGAAAACTGGTTGTTCAAAAGAAAAGAGAATGGACTGAATATACTAGGTGATGCAACCTTGTTTTTTATCCAGATAAACTCTCCAGTTTGTGTTGTGGACTTGGGAAATGTCTTGTTTCATAGAACAGCGAGAAAGTTGAGGTCCACTTGCATTACAAGGTCTAGAGATGGTAATCAATAAGAGTGTTATTGATACCAATGCCATTACCAATCAAATTCTTTCTCAAGTCTTTTACTGATTTCTTAGGAGTTTCTGTGTGGACGAACTTCAGACTTATGTGTCAATGGCACACATTTTATTATGAGTTTACCCACTGAGCAATAGACCATTAGACGTCTAGTATTTTTAGATCTAATTTAGACGTTGCACTTTAACCCATTATTCGATAACTATTTATTTAAAAAAGCAACTGTGAGTTGCAAAACTGATCTCCAAGTACTTAACCAAAATTATTGTGATAACCGTTAAGCAATATACATTGTAGTATGGATATAGCCCAGATTTAGACTTGATCTAAATTCAGACGTCCATAAAGCTTTCATTTTTAGACCTGTGGTAGCCTGATTTTAGACCAGTCATCTAGGCTACATTTAGACGTCTATTAGACCTCTTTTGGACCAAAAAATGCTCAGTGGGGAGTGCTTTTACTAGTCTTGGGAGCTTTAAAAGCAGGAAGGAGCCTGACAGGTGAACACACTGATCTAGCCTACAACATTATTCAAAGACAGTGCTCACACTTACTCAAGAAGCTTGGTAAGTAAAGCTTCTTGTAAGTAAAGCTTGTTTTTTTATGGCTGATGTGAATCGGTGGGTAATTTGATCAAGAAATAGAACTTATGAGGCTGAAATTTTGAAATATATTAGTAATTTGACCTTAAACTAAGCAGTAACCTTCTCATTTAGATTATCATAAATCGTGAGTGAGTTCCTTCTTCTCACTAGAGTTTTACTTCTTCCAGTTTGAAGTTACAGGTGGTTTAAAGTTTGCAAACTCTTACTTTTGGAGAAGTTACCTCAGACTCTGTTAAATAGCCCACACACCTCTGTCAGAGAAGCCTCTCAGCTCTGTCTGCCTGCAGAGCCACGTCCGAGCTCTTCAGCACCCCCAACTCCACGTTTTTCTCCACTGAGGACGCGTACTCAGTCCATCCTTCAAACCCGGAGTTGTAGTGCCCTGACACGGTCCGAATGCTGCCACTGCCGTCCTCCCAGGTAATCCGAGCCGGGGCAGAAGAACGCACAGTCCCGTTCATGTCCTTCCCATTCCCCGGACTCTTCTTCACCACCTCCCCGGCTTCCACGGACTTCATACCGCCTTTGGAGAGCCTCTCAGACAGCTTCCTTGCCCAGTGCGAAAAGTTGATATCCAGGGAGCCTGTCCTTTCTTCGGCGTACAGTGGCACGTTCCCGGTGTACCACAGCACCCACCACACCAGGCTGAGGAAGATGATGACGGAGCCCGTGTAAATCAGAAAGTCTCCATAGAAGCGGCCGTCCCGGCTCAAATTCCCGAAAATCCCGACCAGCAGCACCGCTAATCCAGCCGCATCAAAAACCACGGCGAGGAAGAAGAGCAGCGCGCACCTCCCCACGCAGCTGGGGGCCATACCGGAGCGGAGCCACGAGCCCGAGTAACGGAGCCCAACACAGTAACCTGTTTTTCAGAACGCACATTTCCCCTCCTTACACCTGTGCTGCATTCACCTGCACGCAAGCTCCGCCCCCCTGACTGCGTCACTGTATCAAGTGGGCTTCCAGCCTCCCAGGGGGCTCGTATCGAAATGCTGCGTTTAAACACAGCTTGGAAATTCTCAGAGAGGTTTTTGTGGAGACGAACAACAACACTGGCGAATAAATATTGTTTAAGGTTAGATTTCAAGCGGAATCTCTCTGTAAATGATTCACACTTGAGAAAATACATAATTCAACCTATCTGAAAGGTCGCCTCCACAATCCCAGCAGTTTACAGAGCAGTCTCTACTGTTGGAAAAACTAATCTGATGACAGTGTTCAGTCAGTGGCGTGCTCAGGCTGTTTGAGGGACTGGGGCAAGACTAAACAGGAAGGGCACCTGCTGTATGCCATGAGACACCCGTAAACAGAGAGCTGTGATTCATAAGGACCTATCTGTAGCAGCATTTTTGGACTGTTTTGTCAGCTTTTCAGTTTCTCTGTCTGTCCTTGACATCTGTGGTCATTAGGTAACCGCATCCTTGGTTGTAGCCCATCCAGGGCTCGACAGTGCGACCGCTTCACTTGCATTTGTGGCAAAAAATGGATGTGTGTGAATTGGAAAATGTATTTAGGGGCACATGTGCTCATAAAACACAAAAGGCAACAAATGTCTTTTCATGTAAATGCTGTGGTGAAGTTAGTTTTAGGTTGTATATCCGACGGACATTCATTGCGGTTGTGCCGGCGTCTTTGCACTCTCCATAACCAGGATTAGCAACAGTAGCTTGGTTAAATCTACTCGGCACCTTCACTGTCAACGTCAGGTGTTGAGTAAGGGACCATCAATAAATTACCTGCCAATTTTCTCAAAAACAGGCTGTTTCCTTCAAACGCTTCCATGTCATATGAACAATTGACCTAAAATTGATTTCAAATAATAGTACTAAGGTCGGACGACAAGACACACCTCTTAATTTCCCTAATTTTTAAATTTAATTAAAAGGCAAATTTTGAGCATTTCCTTCAATAGCTTCCATTATATGTGACCAATTGACCTAAAATTGATTTCACAAAATAGTACTTAGTCGACCAATAATAATTTTTCAAACTTTTGATACTCTTTAGGGTTTATTTGAACATATCAAGGCTGAGGTCATGAAACGTTTAATATGAAAATTACAACAAGAAATGCACCATGAAACTGTGTCCACAACCTGTTGACCTTCAAGTTTCAGTGAAAAACTGATTCTCTGTGCAGACACTCCCTGTTCACACCAGAATGAATCACACCCAAATCTGGAGCTGCAGTCTGACCTGCTGCTCTGAACACTGTTGTTGAAACAGTAAAGTGTTAATGGCCTCACTGAGAGTCACACAGAGATGTTAATGAGGCTGTTCTCAGATCAAACCGCTAACAGGTTTGACATTTTTGTATGATCAGTGGTTTGGTTTCAGTCTTAAATCACGATGAGCAAGAGCGGAGTGGAGTAAACAGAAAAAAAAAAAAAAGTTAAACCTTTATTTAACCAGGAAATATCCCATTGATATAAAGAACCTCTTTTTCAAGGAAGTCCTGGCCAAGAGACTGGAAACACAAAATACAGTTACATATTTACATAGTCCATCTTTGACTGCTGTGGAGGTGATGCAGCTAAAGGAAGAACATTTATGATCATTACTTTATCATTTCCTTGGAGTAATAATCATCATAATTATTACTTTACACCGCAGAAGCGGTAGTTCTTCTGCCTTAGCATCTCGGTCTGATTGCATTTCTATGAAAAAATGGTCATAAATGTTCTTCCTTGAGCTGCGTCACCCAGCTAATGGACTGGCCTACAAACAAACGGCTGCTGGAAGAGAGTAGGTAAGTTGTGTTTTGTCTCTTTGCCACAGAAACCAGGCAACGCTGAAAAGATGTTTGGTGGCCAGTGCTATGGCTGGGATCCTATATGTACTATTGATGAAGTTAGGTGCTGTTCTGAGCATTATTTGTGGCTATAGAGTGACTTTTTCATTGAGGTTTGTGTATGTAGGCCATTCTACTCATAATAATAATGATAGTATGATGACTTTGTTTGAAGGTTTTTGCACAACAAACAAAAACAGTTTTATAATTGGCTGTTCTTTGACTTCATCCATCCATCCATCCATCCATCCATTTTTACAGTCTCGGCTTTACAACGCAGTTGATTTTGGAAGTTGAAACACACATTTAAACCGCAGTGTGAGGATAGTGTTCCTTTCCTGTCCCACATGAGGATTACTGCTCAAGGATTTAAACCCAGAATCTCTGTAAATAAAGAGGCAGAGGGCACTTCACCATAGGTAACCCTGGCGGTGCTTTCTTTTGAGTCTTTCCTTTTCTGTCTTTGAATTTTTCTTTCATAGACTCATTACAGCTGAAAAATAATTACTGCTCCTCACACACTAACACAGAAAACATAAACACACACCCACGAGCTGTGACTTTGCTTTGTATTTTTAATGAACTCTTTCTCTCTCCTTTCCTCCTGTTGCTTTGTTAGTGTTTGTCTTTTGCTTTAGATAGAAAACCAGAACTGACAAAAACTAACAAATAACAAGCAAAGCACACACACACACCATCATCACTGATTAGTCCTGGTCTTTCGGACTGCACCTGAAGGCAACACTGCTCTGCACTTCAGTATTAATACCAGTTTTAATTCCAGTTTTTCCTGCGGCTCTGCTCAGTGACCCTCCTCACAAACCCACACACATGCACTTTATTACACCATGAATGATTTCATGACTTATTAAGCTCCATGATTAAGTGGAAGACACGGCAGATTACATGGATTTCCTTCACTGAAGTCCTTCATGGCTCAAAGTGATTTCTGAGCCGTATTCAAGACATCTGCTGCATAAAACGACACCAAAACAAGAGTGCACGGTGCTGGTTGGGTGGGGGGGTTCTTTTGTCTTCTTCACAAACAGTAAATGGACACAGTTTGGAGAATTACTACAACCACATTTATTAACATACACAAATCTTTAAGCGCAATATTTTCCATGTTTTTTTTTTTTTTTAATTTTTGCACAAAAGCAATAATGACCAGTTCTTGTAGAAAGACCTCCTCGTTTAGATGAGCCGAAACAGTTTCTGTGCAAATTTATTTGGCAGCTAGAGGGCACCAGTCACCTTAAAATGACATCTGAAGCTCTGCGTTGGGAAGTCTGTGCTCTGCATCAGTTTTCCAGCGCTATCCTTGTACAGATCTGAAAGAGCAACATTTCTCCCTCAGTCCAGTCGTACAGGCACTATTTTCATCACAATTTAACTTATAATTAACAAATACTAACAATAATAATCAATTCATGCACATATCCATATACACCAACAAGCCATAACATTATAAACACCCGAGCAACATAATCCAACCCAATAAACCAGTTTCATGATTGTCAAGAGAGGTTGAAGACACATCCCAAGACTAATGGAAAACCTCCAAAATTCCACCACAGGTATGAAGCCTATCCTAAGAAAAGGCCTAATAATGGAAGAAATGAGCATGTTAGGATGGCTCAGTAAAGCAGGCCTCACTTTCAAGCTGTAGCATGCAGAATAAGTTAATAGAGTAAGTCAACCCTGGGCCTAAATGATTGTTAAATTCAGCGCTGAAATATCATCTATGATTACAATTGAGTTTATTAAATAAAGAAGGCTCCACATAACGTCAGATCGATAAATTTTTTTAACCTTGGCCCCAACATGAGTATTGAAACAAATCCACAGTATTGAAACATGAGTGAAATGAACATAGTGAAGGGGAGAAGTGTGTATAAGATCAGCTCACTACCTTTTACAATATTGTTACCCTGCAACATCCCACTCTGCTGGGCTAAGAAAGGTGTTATGAGGAATGGTGTTTTCCATCGAGATGCACCACTAAGCAGCATGTGTTGAGCTTGTCACCGGCGGGAATGTTGTTTAATAAAAGATTTGAGTGAATCGAGGTAAACTTTTCTACAAATCTTAATGACGAACTATGTGATAGAGGATCGAAACATATTTCTACATCCCTAACAGTGCAAATGGAGCGACTATAGAGATATAAATGATGATAATTTTGTCTTTAATTTGAAAGGGGGTATTGGTGCACTGAAAAACAACTCTCTTAAATTCTTACATAAAAGTTAAATTAGCAAACAAAAAGATTCTTTCTTATTCTTGTAGTAAAGTTATCTCTGTTATATGACCTTAAACAAACTAAGTGTAAACTGACCACCTCTGTTAGCGAATTGTACAGCAGCAGCACTTTCAACCAAGCTTCAACACCCCCACCTGCTCTCCTGTTGTTGTGTACAGTGAATTCTCCAGGAGATTTGCTTGCTGAAAGACTTGACTGCTTATGGTCACACAAACAGCTCACCCAGGTTATGTCATGAAATTTTCAAGAACAGGAGTTATTGATAGTTTTTGGTATTGTTTAATTCATTAGTTTTTTTTATAGATGCTGTTGAGGATGCAGTTGAGTAAGTGCAGTGATTAAGTCTGAATTTTATTTTCCTAAGGTCAGTGCAGTGTATTGTATCAGATTGCATCATATCATGACAAATCGTATGGAATTGTATGCAATTGTATGCTACCATATCATATCGTATCGTATTGTATCGAATTGTATCATATTATAGCATAATGTATCATATTGAATTGTATGGTATTGTATGTTATCGTATAGTATCATTTTGTATCATATCATAGCATTATGTATCAAATAGTGTGCTATTAAATAGGATCCAACCACATTATATTATATTGTGTTGTATCATAACCTATAGTGCCTAGTGGGAGTTACCTGCCATGGCTGAATTCTAACAGCATTTTGTTTGCTGGCACGTGTTCAAATTAAGCCCCAGTTCCAGTTACAAACTTGGGTGTAGATCAGATCCAAAAACTGAGCTCATTACTCTGCATCTTTTGAAAAGTTGTCTTGGACAAAGAAAAGAATTACTGAAAAGATCTGTATCCCATTTGCTGGCACAACAAAG